CCAACGAGGCAAACGACCCGAAGGCGATTTTAAAATCAAAAACCACCGTAATGGTGGAAGATCCAACTCTATAACCACTTTCGCACCTTCTAGATAATGTCGGAATTTTTCTACAGCCCATACTACGGCGAGCGCCCCTCTTTCGGTAGTTTAATAATTTTTCTCGCTGTCCTTTAACAAGCGACTGACGTATTCTATTGGATGTTCGTCGTATTTCTCCCCCTGGAGTAGAACTGCACCCAAGTCGTAACAACTTGCATCTGTTCTAAGGATATACGGCTTAGTCTGGTTGGCTTGAGCAAGGACTGGAACAGTAGTCAGTCTTTCTTTTAACGACTCGAAGGCTCTTAATTCGGCTTCACCAAACTGGAAAGACGCATTTTTCTTAAGAAGATTAGTTAAGGGACGTGCAATTTTGGAAAACTCTGAAACAAACTTGCCACCAACTACATGTCTGAATGAAACTTTACAGCTGTTTGCGATCGCTTGGAGGTCTCAACAGTTTGATAGCAGCTATTTTGTCAGGGTTAGTTTTAATTCCATCACTGGTCAGTATATGTACGAGAAATTTGACCGAGTCACAGAAGAACGAGCACTTCTCACGTCTAGCACGAAGACCAAAACGTTTTAAACGCGAAAACACTGTTTGTCTATTATGTGCTTCTCAAAGGTTTCTGAAAGTAGCAAGATGTCGTCTATATGTACGAACACTGCAGTGTCATTCAAACCGGATCTAAATTTGTCCTACATCGAAGGAATGTCGCGGGCGCGTTTTTCAACCCGAAAGGCATTCGATTGAATTTAAACGTCCCAAATGGAGTCACAAAGCAAGTTTTGTCACGATTTTCTTCTGCAACAGGAACTTGCCAGTAACCTGCTTCTAAATCAATTGTAGACATGAATGGTGTATGTTTAGCGGTGTGAAGAATATCGTCTATTCGCGGCATTGGATGACTATCGCTGACCGTTACTGAGTTTAGCTTACGATAATCTATGCAACGACGATAGCTGTCTCCTTTTGGAGTTAAAACCACAGGGCTGGACCATGGTGACTCGTACTCTTCTATAATTTCTTGTGTTACTAATCGATTCAATTCTTCACGCAGGAATTGCTTCTTTCCGTTCAGCGGGTACGGTGGTACGGAGATTGGTACAGGATTTTGTGTGTTAATTCGATGCGTAGCAAAGGTAGTTTCTCCCCGTTCTTAGAAGATGGTGCTATTCTTCTGAAGTAGGGTGTTTATTTCATCTTTTGCCGTGTCTTTAATCTTCTGAGCTTCATTTTGGCGTAGGGTTATGGGATTAATGTTTACGGAGTTTGTTTTAATTCCATATTTGAAAGTATGTTCTGGTTTACCTCTAAAAAACCAACACTCGTTTTGGAAATCTATACCAATGTTAGCCTTCTTCAAAAATTCCCGCCCTAAGAGCGTATGGTTCTCGGTTAAATGCGGCATTATAACAAAATTGGTTGGAGTTATTTTGTCTTTTATCTTAACGTCTACATTTGTTACCAGTAGTTTCTTATCTCTAGGAATTCCGTCAGCTAATGTTACCACTGCATCCATTGTTTCAAACTTAACTCCCTTATCTTGTAACACCTTATAGAGGGTGTGACCAGCTATGTTCCATTTTGATCCTGAAAGAAAGAAGTTAGCTTTGACGTTTGTTTTTTCTTTGCATTTCGGGCAGTTCCATCTGTAGTAGCCAGGAGTACCACAGCCATAACACTCAGGTTTTGATCTTGCTGATGTTGACTTTGACAGTTCTTTATCATCGTTCTCTTTTTCCAGTTGGCGACACTCATTCTTTAAGTGACCAAATTTTTTTCAATGGTCACAACGAGGTCGTAACTTCTTTATTTGCATTCCGTCCTGGTTTGTGTTTCTTTCTTGTTTGCGGAACGCGGATTCACGAAACGATTGTTCGATTTCGCGGGCACAATTAAGCAAATCTTTGAAAGAGTTTATTTCACTACGCGGAAGTCTCTTTCGAATCTTCAGAGTTAAAAGTCCATACACCATATCCAGCTGCATTTCTTCTGCGACACTATATGGCAATTGAGCGATTAAAGCTCGAAATTTCGCAACGAAGATATCAGTGACTTCGTGTTGTGTTTGCTCACGAGCAAAGAGTTCTTGGAAGACTACATGAGGGGGTAATTTCTTCGAGTACACTTCTCTGAGGATATTTACTGCACTCTGCCAGTCTTTCGACGACGGTTTGATTCCTTGGCACCAAGTAGCAGCGCTAGACTCGAGCAACATTGAAAGACCACGCAGTGCATTTTCGTCACTGATATTGGTGCAGTCTTTATATGTTATGATGTTGTCTACAAAAGCTTCTACATCGGCGTCATCTGATTCATTAAATCTGGCACTACATTTAGCAAAACTACCTGCAGATCGAGTGTAAGAATTTGGTGATACGCTTCGTCGTGCCTCGGACTGATGTGTAGTTGCAGCTTGCTCCTTAATTGTCGATAGTAGTTGCTTAAATTGGTCAGCCAATAGAGTAACTGAAGCTGGAATATTAAGTTTCGGCGGCATCATGGAATTTTGCACACAATTAACCGCGAATGTACAATGGGCCACTAGGGGGGCGCCAAATATAATATAATTCATTTATTTAAATGTACAAAACATCAACAAAATTAAACATTCAGATACTATTTTCTATCTGTCAACCCTTTTTCTAATCAACCCCCTCTTCTTTTTTAATCAAAACCAAGTTCCGCTACAATACTCAATTTATTAATGATTCAGATTACAACGGAAACGAATTTATAATATGCGTGCCTCCACTATCTTCACAAAGTCCTATCCTACGTTCAAAATTTCTACGAACTCTATCTAACATGTCGGGAGTTATAGATCGGCATGACGCTATTATTCTTTCACGCAAGTGGTTTTCATTTTCGATTGGGACACTATGAACATCGTTTTTCACCTTCCTCCAAAGAAAAAAATCTAATGGCGTTAGATTAGGGCTCCGTGCAGGCCAAGCGTACTCTTCTTCTCTAGCAATAAGTCTTTTTCTAAACGCTCGGTATAAATTGTTCTTAACGTCTCTCTGATAATGAGCGGGAGCGCTATCATTTTGAAACCAAATTATTCTTCGTATGTCTGGCTGTATGTTTTCCAACAGTTCAGATAAAATATTATTTAAAACATTTAGATACATAGGTCCGTTTAAATTTCCTTCAAAAAAATGTGGACCACTGACGTGGTTACCAACAATTCCACTTCTTGGAAGTGCTTTTCTTGATACCAATGGGGATTTTGCTGATCATAGTAATGTGAGTTGTGTCTGTTTACACACCCGTTATTGGTAAATGTGGCTTCATCCGTAAACAAAACGTTAAATAAAAAATCTTGATTGTCTCGTAATTGAGCCCTAACGAATTGGCAAAACACTGTCGGATAAAAACGCGTTCTGTTAAATGTTGGACAATTGTCACATGGTATTGATGAAATCGGTTTGCCTTTAAGATGTTGAAAACCGGACCCAAACTAATCTCCATTTGTCTTGCAATCTGTTTTTCACTCACGTGGGGATTTTCTGCTACAATTTCAATTAGAGCAGCTTCATTATCCGGCGTTGTTACAGTTCGATTTCTAACTTTATTTTTTTTTTAATTGCTCAAATTAACGTAATTTTTTTTTCAGTTAAGGAAGAAAAAAGAAATAATTTCTAACTTTTATAAATATTTTTACTTTAATAATGTTTATTGAATCTTGATGTTATTTAAGCTGGCAACAATGATTAGGTTTCTGACACAATTCATAACCTTAAATAAATAGCAACCCAAATCGACATAAAAGATACCAACCAAGTTACTAGATTTCCATGGCCTGCTGCCGTCTAAAATGGTCGTGAATATCCCGCTTCATACGACTTTAGTATGTATTTTCATTAGTAAGATTATTTTTGCACATCATATTTTAAAAGAAGACACCAACTTGATAAATGAATACACTTTAAAGAAATATTAAAAAAGCATCCAAGTTATTTTTGTACATTTTATTACAAAAACATAATTTAATTCCAGTTAGTGCGTATGCGAAACTAATATGTTTATGTCGTTGATGCTATATTTGCCCATGTTTGTTAAGCTAATTTTAAATGCAACCACATCAGAAATCATTCGTATACTGTATGATATTGCATTGAACGAAACGAATGCTTAAAATATTGCGGCCGGTCTAATGGTTTAAAATTTTCTGAAATTTAAAAAAATGATAATTTTATATTATAATTACGACACAACTATTAGGGCAGCACAGCCTTGTCTTCTCAATTTTAATCTCTTTTTGGAAATAAGTGGGGATACTTAAGTTTATTTAGTATTTTTTATTGTCTTTCTACAGTGATCTAATAAAAGGCATTTATTACTAAAATTTTTGAAGGTTTGTCACTTTGTCCTTGGTCGTTGCATTTTCAACTGAAACTTTCAAATTAACGATAATCTGACGAGACTAAAATTCCATCAAAGACAAATCTTCAAAAATCCGATTAAAAAAGTCGAGAACAAGTATTTTAAAGTGAGGGTAATTTATTGAAGTATTTGCTCAAACGTTTATGGAAAGAAATTGTGTTTTGTGATTAAATGAACCATTCCATAATTATGAGCCTCTGTATATATATTTTTTATTTTACTTATATATATATTTTTTTTATATAAATGAAATACTGAGACATATTTAAAATTTCAAAAATCAAAACCAAGACCTTTTTCTTGTCAGCCTACGAGTTTCAATTTTCTTAAATCCACAGTCATTCCGCTCATCAACCACATTAAATTTTCCGCAATTAACGAATTGAACCCCACTTATCCACTAATTACATTTAAGTAACTAAAACATCGTTAAATGACTTGCAAGATGTGTCATCTTCGCAACAGCGAACCCTCGATTTATTTTTACATTGATATCAATTGCTCAATCTGCTAAATAACAAACACTCTACCTATTTAATATTCACTTTAGTTTATGTTTTAGCACAAACGTTTCGTCCAACAAGCCAAGACAGACGAATCCGAAATTTTGTTCATTGGAGACTCCATCGTGGAACAGCTACAGTTTTCGAACTTATGGATAGAAAAAATTAGTGCTTTGCATTGTGTTAATTTTGGGATAGGAGGAGACAGGGTTGAAAACGTTTTATGGAGGATCCAGAATGGGGAATTAGATTTTAATGTGAAGCTAAAGGCTGTGGTCTTGTTCGTGGGGACAAACAACACTGATTGCACCCCTCATGAAATTTTTGAAGGAATTTTGGAAATTATTAAGGAAATTAAACACAGATTAGGGAGTGTGTTTATTATACTGCCGGTAAGGGGGCTGTCTTACAAAAAATTCAAGTCATTGTGTATTTCTTTTTCAGACTTTGTTGCCTCGAGGACAATACCCTAACACTTACAGAGAAAGAAACGACCACGTTAACACTTTTCTGATCGATAAGTTTTCTAATGAGGCGAATGCTGATGAAGTTACAGACAATGTTTACGTCGTGGAGATTCATCACAACATTGTTCAAAATGACCAGACGATTTCGCACCACATCATGCACGATTATCTGCATTTGACCAACTCCGCCTATACGAAAATCTTTGGGCCTGTGTATGACAAGCTTTGTGAGCTGCTTCATAAGTAATTTATTGCCTGATACGTATGTCAATATTTTTGTAATGGAACTATACTTTGCTCATTTAATATACATCGCAGAATCAATATTCGTCAAATTTTTAATCAAAACTAGAACTTTATTTTTTCCATTCATATATATAACATTATAGATACATTAAAAAATTACAAAAGGGGAAACTTGTGTCATTCCCACACAGTTGAACTAACAGAATTTTTTTTTCTACTTGTGACTTCTACATGAGCGTCTAAACCATCTGACAGTCGGCTTAATCTTCTAGCCCAAGAACCGCGTATGGCTGCAACAGAGCAAATGGTTTTTGTGTTTATTCTTTGCCAAAATTCACTAAGAGTACATACCTGGCCTCCCTTCTAATCGTGGATTATTATTTTCTTTGAGATTATTCATCAAGTCTTCGTACATGTCGTTGTCGCTTTTCTTCAGACCGTGCTCGTACTTGGCTTCTTTAGCTAAGAGAGTTTCTCTTTGGATTTGTGTTTTTAACTGAAAGCATAGGATTAATGGTGTGTTTGTTAAGTTAAATGATTGTACCTCTGACGGGACGCCTGGAATAACGTACTGCATAATTCCAGTCAGAGCAAATACTATATGCTGTAAGAAAAGTAGCATTCAATAAATGTTCAGTTGTATGTAACTGCAACTATTTACCTCAAAAATAACCACAAATGCCAAACGGGCGGCAAAAACATGCCAGTACTGCGGACTCAAGCCATATTTATCCTCATGATCAGGTCCGTTTCTGTAACCCCTGTACTGACAATCTGGAGGTGGTGGTTCTTCATTATCGTCTCCACCCATACCTGGATGATAATCCGAAGTGTTGAACACTACAACAAAGATTGACTTGTCTTTTAAAATCTATAATTCTTTTTAATCTTACAAGACAGAGAAGAGTCTATGTACCCCACCAAATCCTCACTTAACGAGTACTTGTACTGGTAGACCATTCTCGGAATAAAGTCGCTGGTGTAGGCGATCACAAAAGCCTAAAATCACGTCAAGATTAGAACGAATTTACAGTTCCGTTGAAAATTTATATACATTTGAGACAACAGCAGTGTAAGTTATGGCTCTTAGTATTCCATACCAAGCCCCTATGTCTTCGCTGCGTTCTGCCAGAGGTCGTCTTGCTTGTGTGACCATTTTGTACGCGTCTAGTCTAATTTCTGCTATGTTATTTAATAAGGCACATAATGGAGCTAACGGAAAGGCTGCGACAAATAGTGTCACGAAGCCGTACTGTAAAACTAATAGTTGCATGTAGTATTTCGTACCACAACCACAAAAGGTACTACTTACTCATTTCCAGGTACTCGTCGAAGAGAGCAAGCCTTCCGGGGTCTTGCATGTGATAATCTTCCTCCCATCTAGTGTGCTTCCGTGATAAATCTTTGGTGTTGGAACGGTGGGTGCGGTACCTCCACCAGTTGTAAAATTTTCTAGAAAGTACAACCCAATAGATTTTAGACGTACAAAATCAGAGTTACAAATTACACCTAGACAAAGACTTGAAGTGCGGGTTTGTAGACACACAAGTGACGAAAAAATTAGATTAGTTTAGAAACTCACGGATTAAATAATTCTAGGATATTATTGACGATTTGCTTCCCAACCATAATTATAGCTAATTGGATACACAACTCACTCAGGCAACCTGCCGGGTCGCAAATATCTCCCTTTACTCTTGAAAATATCGTCTCCCTAATGGCCGTATCACCAGGAAAAGCGTAAAACCTTCCTTTGAAGAAAGCTATATAGATGAGTGAAGAGTAGAAGTTCATAAATTCAAAAAGGAATATTTTAAAAGTGTACGAATCTTCGTATTCAGTCTGTGTTCTTGGATTTTCCACGTTCGTCAAATATATGGCTAACCTATGATAGAACTAAACACAGAAAAATAAGACATACTATTTAATTGAAGTACTCACTCTCGTCAGGCACATTATTATTAACAAGTTGATCAATGCAGCTGAGACCGACGTTACAATTTTGGCATGTCTTTTGAGAAAAGTTCCTCCACCTCCGTATATGACAGACACGAGAGATAGTCTATAGATTATTGTCCCTAAGACGGCACACAAAACTACCACTAACTGCAAAAAATATACACAGTATGTCAAAATTCTCTGTAACAAATCTTACCATAAAAAATACGGCAGAGCCTGTAGCTACAAACTTAAACGCTTTGGACCGAGTTGGCAAATATGGTTCTTTTTCTCGTGTTACAGGGTTTGTTCGAAAGGTTTTGACACTTGTTTCAAATTCTGAAGAATTGTTGGTACAGAATATCACAGTCTTTGTGTACACTTACCTGGTCGAGGTTCTTCGTCACTCTCAAAACCTTGCAGATCCCACTCCCACTGGATTACACTTTGTTTTCGACGCCATAGTTCCAAGAAAACGGTAGCTAACATAATAGGTACAATATGAGCGATGATAAAATTTATCAAGACGATCTTACCCCAAAGACTCATAAATATGGCAAAGAAAACAGTCGCTGGATTATCGAATAAGTACGTCAGTCGAGCAAACTTGCAACTGTCCATTAACTTCTGGTATTTACAGGCTTTGTCACACAAGGGACAAAGGGTTATGTTCCCAGGACCCATAGGGTCGCAAATTTCTTTCCTTATATTAAAAACGAGTCATTATTTGCTTCCTGGTTGCAATACTCTACTTACGTTGGTATGTTGTCAGGGCTATCGATTGTAAAAAGTCCATACAAAAAACATAAAGTTCCAACGATAGCAGGCGCTATGAGCATTTTAGTATAAAACCCTAACCAACAAAAGTACAAAGCTATTTTATCTCCGAAGTACTTCCTGACTAGACAAAGTGGTTGTCGTTTCATCCATACGCCAGGTCTCGCCCATTCAAGATATAGTTTCTGCAAAAATGAAACAGTTTTTAAGACTGATAAGAGTGGTAAGTTTGATTCTTACCCGACGGTCCAAAATTCTTCCATCACTCTGTTCCTTCTCCCATCGACCCTCATGTAAAGGAAAACATGCTAAGTATGTGTTGTCATTCAGAAGACGTCTTATTCCGACTTTGTCCGTTTCATCAAACTTCACTCGGAGTAGAATCTGCATGACGACGAGGCTTCTTTGTGCACTGGAGTAACTCGTGACTCGATCTTTAACCACGAACCTAAAAAATGGTAAATTGAAAGTAAAACAAACCATATTTTATGTGATCCACTTACTGTTCTTCACGATCTCCTCCCTTCGTTGACTCATAGAAAGACGGTTCTTCCCGGATCAAGTCGGTGTTGAATTGCGTCAAATCATTAATTTTTTTCTGAAGTTTCGACCAAAAAGACTCCTTCTTGTTTTGACTCTTTTCATCGTCCTACAAGAAACGATGAATTTAGTTAGTGAAAAATCTGGAATACCACTCACCCAAGCTTTGACTGATATAGTTATAAATCTTTTAATTGGTAGCTTTAGGCCCATGACAGCGGCGTATCTTGTTTTTGTCTTCCATGGAAGGTGTATTTTCAAAAACCAAGTTTTTCCGTCGAAGGATATGTCTTTGTGTTCCAGTTCTAATTCTAGACCTTCCTTGACGAGATTTTCCTGAGGATGCAAACGTTAAGAGGGTTAGTTTTACTTGAAAGGTAACCAACCTGGAACACTCTTCTATTGTCGCGTCGTTTTGCCTCGGCTTCAGTCATCACACCTAACTCTTCTTCTTCGTAAACCAAAACCATGTCGATTTTTCTGCGTCCATCTCTGAAGTATAGGCTTTCTGGATCTAAGATCTAAAAAAACACTTGGATTAGTCATACATGATTTGATTAATAGTTCTTCCATGTAACTAATCTGCTACAAATGGTTTTAAGGCCACGTCTTGGATGCCTTCTAGGTCTCACTATTTAGGTTTCAAGAAAAATGCAAATAAAGTCGCAGACAAAACTTGGGTTAGGGCATGTGAAAAAATCGTGGGCAGTATTTTGAGCACTTGGTACATTAATTAAGTACATTATTGTTGTTGTGGTGTCCCGATTTGAACAAAATCATTCAATAACGTAGACAACCATGCGTGTTTATTGTTTATTGTTACTTAATTGCCAACAGAAAATGTTGTCTGGAATGCCACCCCTATAGGTTGATAGTTGTAGGGAATTTGCTGTATTAGTAAAAATCACATGTTTGTGTTTATTATTATTTATAGTCTATTATCAAATTTACCGCCACACCGTCATAACAGCTTGAGTATGACCATCCTGTTACTTTATTCACATTTCTATTTTTACTTCCCGAGCGTAAACGAAAGAAGTACTGTAATCGAGTCCATCGGGCGACTTGTTTTCTTTGGGTGTCTAAGTATGTGATGTTCAAATATTTGTATCAATTTATTATTTTTATTATTATAATTAGAAAATTATGGAACAGAGGTCAGAGACCTATTATGCTAGATTTCCAGCTGTTGCTCCAAGTTGTTTTGAAACATGTTGACACTTGTCGCATTTACAATATCACTACTTAAATAATTCCATTTGTCAAAGACTGTTGGGAATGAAATAGCATCGAACAATAATGTTAATTAGTATTTAACAAAAAAGAGCTTTGAGATTGCCCATATTTGGGTTGTGAAAATTTTCAAATACCAATATTAAGTCTCCTCTCTTGCGTCTTTGATCAAATGACGTACGATCTGGGGGTCTCATTCGAGTCTAATAAAATTTAGTTTCTTATAATCCAAAACTTTTTTTATAGTCCTAGAAGGGTGTTTAGAGGCATTAAATAACATATAGGGTCTTTATAAATGATTTTAAGGGCGTAGTGGGTCATGGATTTTAAGAATCCCGCTTCGTTGAAATTAGGCCTTATTTTGACAGTTCTCAATTGTCCATAATGTCATTTGTAACCTGTCATTTAGGTTCTTCGTTTTTATTGTTTTAACGTTCTTCAAAACTCTTGGCGTTTGCGTACGAAAATTTTGTTTCTATGCAAGGAAGCGAATACCTTGAAAATGGTTTATTCTGTTGGACAAGACACTTTCATTTTTATGTCTTATTATTGTAATGGGACATTCGTAAACGAAGAGTAAGTGTATTCTGTAACCACTTGTAAGCAAAAATATCTGCTCAAATACTATGATTTAATAATACAAGAAACGCCGTTAGAGGCTCACATTAGAGATGTAATCAACAGATTTGTTCGAACTGGCAGTGTCGACGAAGGGAAATCTCCTGGAAGACCAGACCTCCAGTATCTGGGAGTAGATTTGGGATGACTTGAGTAGAATCCGCAAAATTCCTCAGCACTCAGGAGTTCCTGATGCAACTTGAAATTGAATAATGGGTCCAAAATGTTGGCGAAATGATGTTACAGAACATTGTTGAAATTGAAAAGCGAGCCAACATGTGCTTTGAACAGAGTGGTTAATATTTTTAACAATTACTGTGATGTTTAACCACAATAAATTTGTTTCTTTTGATTGTAATGAATTAATTTTTTAATAAAATATGAAGCATTTCGGGAATCAGATGCGTGTGGTATTTATCGTGACTCCTCGGACATTTAGTAAAGTCCACATAAGATAAAGTGAGAGGCGGCACGCTTCCATGATCGCCTTCGACCCTAAAATCATTTATAGAAACCCTGTATAATTAATTCGCATTATGTATATTGTGGGCCACTTGACTAGACCTAGATAGATCAGATGTTTTGGTCACACCTAAATTATTATGTTAGTCAACTATCTTAATAGACTCATTATTATCTCTCGTGTGAGTGTCGGTTGAGTTATTAGTACCCAGGTCTAATAGTTCACATCAAAGGCGCTAACATCAGTTGTCCCTACTGAGTCATCATTATATTGTGCTGTATGGCTGCCCAGAAATGTCATAGTACCTGCAAATTTCTGTAAGTAAAAGACTGATCGATTTCTAAAAGTTAGTATCAATTCTTTTAAAGGGATACCTATTATTTTTTTACGTATTTATCTCTCTATTTGACCTTTCATACATCCTTTCACTGACGAAATTTAAGGACTTGGTACTAGGTACCCAGAGCAAAATTGGTTTTTTCAATAAGTCCTTGCGAATTCTTGTATATGAAAAATCATTGGAAATTTTTCGTTTTCATTAACTGCTATACCTATAGGTAATTCTAATGTGGTGATCAAAATTAATTCACTGTAATCGAGTCATCCATGACAGCGTAGATGTATGCAGAATCTCCATAAATTAGTACTACTTTAAGTAAGGTGACCAACCGTTCCGATTTGTCCCGATTTTTCGTTATCGTCCCGCTTTGTACCGAAATGGTAAAGTTTTAAACCTTAAGAATGATTTTTTTTTGTTTTGAAAATTTGTTTTTTGGTAAACAGAGAAACTAGAAGCTAGAAGTCCGCGGACCAATATCTCGAGAACGGATAGAGATATTGAAATTCTGTAAAGACCATTGTTATATTAGATATTTATTTCATTTTCAGTTGATAAAAAATAAAATTTATAAACCTAAAAAAATACAATTTGAGTAAAATTGCACTTTATTTTATAATCAACAAGGCCTATTTCAAAGCTTATTTTAACCTATTCTCTAATTGTCGTAAAATAGTGGTAGTTGTTTATTTCACTCAACTTTCGTCATTTTATGTCTATATATTTTATTTTTATTATCAACTACAATGAAATAAATTGTGGTTTATTATAACAATCTAAATAAAATAAATAATAAAGAATAAAATAGGCATAAAGTAATAGGCGGTGCGCTTCCGTGGCCTCCTTTGACCCTATAATCATTTATAGAAAGCCTGTAGTTTCTTGTCTTATTATCGCAATGGGATATTCGTAAACGGAGAGTGAAATTGAACAGTGGGTCCAAACCATGACGGAAGAATGTTACAGAAACATTTTTGAAAATAATATAAACAGATCGCACATGTGCCTTGAACAAAATGTGAAATATTTTCAACATTTACTGTAATGTTTAACTACAACAATTTTTTTTTGTATTGTAACTTTTACTTTTACTTTTTTATAACATAAGCAGCATTCAGGCAAGCAGTTATATAGATGCGTGTGTTATTTCTCGTGCGTGCTTGGACATTTAGTAAAATACACATAACGTGATAGGCGGCAAGCTTCCGTCTCCTCCTTCGACCCTATAATCATTTATAGAAACCCTCTATAAGACATGTAGCACAACAAGCGATGTTATCTTATGGCACTTGTCAAACAATATTCAAAAGTGATTTAGACCTACATTAATAAAAATAAATGTGTCGAAGAAGGTGATTTTCCGCTAAGGGTTGAATATTGTCAGAATTACTAGAAAAAAAAAATACCGACGTCAGTGGCTTTATTAACGCACGAAATATGCGGACTTGGATCACGGAAAATCCACATGTTTACCGAAAAATACCGCTATATTCACAGAAAGTTGGAATTTCGACAGGAATTAATCGACTCCTTATAATAGGGCCACTTTTTTAAAGTACGTAGTTCATGTACTCAGACGTTAATTTACAACTGCTCAATCACACTAAGGTAACCTCACAACCACACGATATCAACAAGGTATTTTGGCACCTTTTATAAATCAACTCCACGATGATGAATAGGCGATGGGGTATTTTCAACAAGATGGTGCCACAGCCCATGCAGCTTGAACCACAACTGCTTTGTTACGAGAGCTTTTCTCAAATCATCTCATCACTCGAAAGGCAAAAAACCTCTGGCCACCATCTTATACCGGCAGATTTTTTCCTAAGGCCATCTGTGAAAAACTCAAATTACTAGAACCTCACTGATACTGCAAACGAATCAAGGCGAAGGATTACTACAAAATTCATGCAGCTAAATCACGAAATCAAATGTGTTTGGAACGAAATGGACAACATTCATATAAAATGAATTTTTTCGAACATCACTTATTCATTGCCTGACAGTTTATGAGAATACCGCCTTCAAAACTAGTAAATTTAAACTTAGGTTACAACTTTACCGACATTCTATTTTGGTCTTGCTTAAATGTAGAGGTTAAGTTTCAGAATTCTGATAAACCCACTTTGTCATTAAGTTGTGTCTGCAACTTTATGTGAGGCAACTATGTAGGATACAGAGACGCGTTGACACAAAACTGTTTACGAATAAAGAGTACTGACATAAAAGGAAGGCTAAAAGCGGAAAAATTTAGAAGGTCAAGCTTAAGGTGTTGTTAATAGTAGCAGAAATAAGCGGAGTGATCGAGGGTAGAGTTTTTGTCATTTATCGGATCCAGTAAGGAACGATAGTTTTGATGTTGTAATGAAATGAGAATAAAGTGACAAATATTTGAAAATTTGTAGACATAAAAGAGAAAAAATACAGGCAGACATTTCACAGTACAGAAGAAATAGAAGAGGTAAGAGCATTTTGTGAAAGAAATGATGGTGTGAACGTAATTAAGCAAAACTGTTCAGCAAGAAAATGAAAATGGAGGAAATGACGCAACAGTTCTCCTACCTCTTCCTTTTCGGCAGGTGTGGGTGGTGGTATCTCCGTAAATTCATCGTCCGAATCGTCTTGCACCAACGACGGTATAGGGGTTCCCGGCAACGTCATGAACGAGTCATTGGTCAACTGTGGACCGAAGGCATCCTTAACCGCGGGAAAGTTACCCTTCTACAACGACGTCATCAATGTAATCCATCGATTACCAATACCTATTTTTACCTTTTCTGGTTGCAGCGATCCTCTTCTATAATTCAGCCCCGAGATATCTTTAGGACTTTCTTCGATCCCATTGAGGCTGCTGTCTTGGTCAGATCCGCCCTTTTGGCACTTGGGGATGTTGACCAAGGACTTGGACCTGCTGTTGTTCAGAGTGTTGCCGCTGATACTGAACACCTGTGGCGTGGGCTGGCGGTCGAAAGGCACATTCAGACTGCACGTACTGTCATTGCTGCTGGGCCTCCGCGAAGAACCTAAGGATCGATTGTCATTACTGTGTCAATCGTTTCATGTAAATTATTTATCGAGGTGTTATTGAAAATAATGGGCCGCCTACACGCTGTGCTAGAATGTTAAAGGTTTATTGTGGGGTGGAGAGATGGTGTGGTATTTTATCAGCGTATTATTAGAATGGAGGATTAAAAATTTATTATGATTGATTTGTTCGAATAACTTGTTTCAGAATTGACACATTTCCGTGCACGTGTAGGCTGGGAAATTATCGACGATTGTTCCTATTGACAGAGACCTTGAGGTCTGTGACCTACATGTAAATAGAAGAAAGTAGAATCGTGTATGAGGGTTGGGGTTAATCGATGTTAGCATTTCAAAGACTATTATCATTATCAATTATGGATGCGTGCAATTGCCAATATTTTAATTATTCACGACGGAATAAGTATGAATTGAAACTTACTTCTAATATATTTTTTAAGCAGTTATTGAGCGTTTTTTGTTTTCGGTATTCAATACGATGGAATTATTTTTAATTTAATGTGCTAAATCCATTCAAGTCATCGTGAAAAATGAGAAAATGTTTTGACGTATAACTAAAGGACAACGTCCTATTGACTGTATCAACTGCTATAAATTTTACATCGACCACTTGTGCAAACTATGAATCTAGCCGAGTAAACAGTGTATGACAGTCTTAGATCATATAATAAATAGATACCACCATGCCGTGTTCTTTCCTTAGGGGAGCCTGTGACGACATCCTCCTGTCACACATCTCTCTCGTGCATGGAGGGATTACAATAAAGCTATCCTTGCCTGATCACTATTTGAATTTTGCGCGCCTAAATTTTAGGAAGTATGTCTGAACTAACTTCGTACGAAAGATGTTGACAGCTTGATTTTATAAATAATTCACAGTAGATAACGAAAGGAATAGTAAATTATTGGGCAGCAATTGTGATCCTTTATGATTACATCACTTAAAATAGGATCTTTGTTCTAAATTCTAAAATTGTTTTTTGTACAACAACTCGAAAGAGAGGTTAGAAGAAACATCTGTCAAAAGCGATTTGTTGCGCTGGTGCGGTACAAGGATGGAAGTGAAATAGACATATACAGATGAAATGCATATAACAAAGATGAAGATGTGGTGATCACACAAGGATAGCATTATACTACTCCCCTTGACGTAGAAAACGACAACAGATAGCTTCATGTCTAGTCACAGCTTTCAGTTTAAGTATTGGTATCTATTTATTATATGATCTAAGATGACAGTATTTCATTATTTCATTAGAGAATCAAATGATCATAAATCATAACAGAGTTTGTTTGTTCTGTGACTATGTTCTTTGTCATTTTGGTCTTGTCTTCATTTTATGTACATTCGTTTTAAAGTATTTCTAAAGATATCTGGAAACAGAGTTAATCACTATAGTCCCTGGTCAACCTTCAACTGCCTGTTATTGCGCTTAATCCCCACGAAAGTACCCGAGTAAGCTGCTTTTTTCGAGTTGCTTTCCAGAACTGCAATAACCAGATCACAATGCCGACGGTCCAGACTTTTTTATTGATCTGACTCCCGCTTATTGAATCAAACACTACATTTTATTTGATTTTCGATGTTGTAATTCACATTTGGTTAATAATAACTAGTCTAGATCTAGGAGAGGCTCAGCATCCCCTAGCCTCCCCTTAGCTACGGCCTTGTTTAGGGGTTATGAAATACCGAGAAAATATGAAAGTACCAAATTACCCGATGGACTCTATTAGCGTACGTCTTTAGCTATCCTCGATAAAAAAACAACTTGAATGTGTTTATGTTTACATCGAAATAATGTCACGTAGAAATTAGTTTGATTTTAATGAGTTCGTCCACTCAAAACAGAGGATCAAAACTATTGAGTAGTAAGCTACAATCGACAAAATGTTTTAAATATCATTATTATAATTCTTATTACATAAAGACGTTTGCGTTTTCACATTTTCGGGAAAATGAGGTGACTCGTTCCTAAATTGATCAATAAAAAATATGAATGTAATGATGAATCACAAATAAAAACTCATCATCTTTTGCACATCTTGGGTAGAATTTATTCGGCAAAATTTTGAGATAACGTCATCAATTTTTTGGGGAATAAACAGTTTTATTTTTATTAATAATTTACCATTCTTACGATGGGTTTAAAACATCTGCAAGCTTTTTGCAATGCTTGATTTATTCAGTAAAATAAACTGACTGAATTATTTTTTTTTGAGGCATTCTGTATATGCAAATCAAAAAAATATGAGAAAAACCAAGGAGATCCATCCCTTATTGTCAATTATCGTTCGATTTCAATTATTTCCAATTTTTCAAAAGTCTTCGAAATTGTTATGAATAATGGTATGTTTCCAGCAATAAATAGAACTATATCTCAATTCTAGCATGGGTTTATTAACGGTAGATCGACCATCTCTAATTTGGTTCAATTTACACAATTTATTGCGGAAGAACTAGATAATGGGCGGCATTTGAACGTGTGTGTCATTCAATACTAATTAATAAATTAGATCAATGGGGTTTTTCTAATAGCTTAATGCAATTCCTATCATCTTATCTTCATCGACATCAACTAAAAGTGGAGTACAACGGTTTTAGGTCGGAATTATTTTATGTTACGTCGGGAGTTCAGCAGGGATCGGTAATGGGTCCATTGCTCTTTTTAATTTGCCTTAATGACGTGGTTGATGCTATTAGAAATTCAGAAGTACTGCTTTTTGCTGATGATTTGAAAATATATCATACTATTTAGTCAAATGAAGATTGTTGCAAATTAAATGAGAATAAAGATAGTTTATTAACGTGGTTCAATGACAATAAACTTGAAATTAATAGATCTAATAGTTATTTATTATACAAGCGGTTAAAGTGAATGTTTAATGAGCGGTCAGTTTAAGACCGCGAGTTACACATTCATTTTAACCGCGAGTGTAATACAAACTTTTATTCAATTTTGACAACCCCAAGTCCCAAATTGTGAAAAAATTGGTGATTCAAAGTTCACATTCGAGAAACGTCAGAATTGACAGCGACCAAATAAAAGTTTTATATGCGTAGAATTTAGGTTACAATATCAGGTGTGTGTGTGTAGTATGTGACTCTAGCGACGGTGTTTGTTTATTTTAAACAAACTAAAATTATCGAAAAATTGCAAAATCATGCAAGATTCCAACGGCAAAACTTGCTCCCAAAAAAGAGCAAATCAGAAACTGTATCAAAAGTTCCTTAGATGGAAAGAGCAGCAAGGCATTGGAGAAATTACAGAAATGGTAACCATGGTTTCAAAACAGCAAAATAAAAATTTTATTTCGCTAGCGGTTTAAAAATTTTATGGTGCTACCGGATAAACCAAAGATTTAGTGTCCTACTGACGGCAAAATAAACGTTTGTTTACATGTCAAAATTGAATAAATGTAAATTAATGCCTTTCACAAGGAAAAAAAATTCTGCTTGATTATAAAATTATGGATGAATCACTCTCCAGATATAGTATGGTTGGAGACTTGGGTGTATGGTTTGATCAAAAACTTAAGCCGGATTTATAGTTATTCCGCATACGGAAACGGGCCCGGATGACGCAACGGAAGAAAGTTCAATGTCAGGTTTTGCTAACATGCATTGATAGTAACTCCGCATCCGGAAGCAGGTCCGTAACAGACGCAAGTTCTTGCGGTGCTTACGTTCGACTGTGCGTTCGACCAAGACGGGTGACTATTGTGCCGAAAGAATCCGAATACGTGCGACGAAAATCGAATCAAATTGCATTAGCTGATTATTATTATGTACAGCAATCGACGTAACCAAGTGACAACTGTAAATAATAATTTGTGACTGTGATCAGTTTTAATAAAAAAGTTGCATAAAAAATGGACACAATATAAGTCAAAAACAACGACTGCACAAAAGAAGATTTAAAATGCATGAAATTAATTGTAATCGACATAGGAACTTATCAAACGTATAATATATAAAATAAGTATTGTAATCGAGTCTGTCGGCCGGCTCTCTACTTTTACGTTTTCTCGACGTTTCATGACCCCTAGAGGACGAAGAAATAGGTCTCCCGTTTCCGTCTGTCTGTCCGTCTGTCTGCCGTCCCGGATTTTTATTAGCCAGATAATCTCCGAAAGTACTGGACCGATTGTTGTGAAATTTTGTACTTATATTAGGAATATCATGTAGATGGTAAAACGCTAAACCAAAATGTGTGTAATCAGCCCCACCACTAATGCGATGACGTCACTTCAAAATAGTATATAGTAAATGGGCTTTAAATTGTATAAAATAACATAGTCCTATACATGTAGTTTATGACTCCAGATTGAGTTTTTACCCGAATCGTCCAGATTTTTGGAAAAAAAATCAAAATTATGGAACAACATTTTGCAATTTAATTTTGAATCTGGAAAACCGAATGCTTTGAAATTTTGCAGATGGTTTACAGTTATGATAGGCATGATAAATTTTTAGCCAAATATATTTATTTATCCCCTCCAAAAAATTGATGACGTCAGCTCAAAAGTTTGTCGAATAAATCCTATCTAAAATATAAAAAATATGATGAGCCTGTACCTGTGATTTATCATTCCAGTCATATTTTCTGGATTTGCATATATAGGGTGACCCAAAAAAATTAATGAATGCATACATTTATTTTACTGATTTACTCAGGAACTACAAAACCGAATGCTTTGAAATCTTGAAGATGTTTAAAGGGTATAAAGAGCATAATAAATTTTTAGTCAAAATATATTTGGTTATCCCCTCCAAAAAATTTATGACGTCAGTTCGAAAGTTTGGCAAATAAATCCTATCTAAAATCTACAACATATGATGAGTCTGTACTTGTAATTTATCATTCCATTCATATTTTTTGGATTTGCATATGCAGGGTGACCACAAAAAATTAATGAATGCCTGAATTTATTTTATTGATTTAATCAGGAACTATAAAACCGAATGCTTAGAAATCTTGGAGATGTTTTAAAGTTATCATAGGCATGGTAAATTTTTAGTCAAAATGTATTTGCGCATCCCCACCTAAAAAAATTGATGACGTCACCTCAAAACTTCACTGAATAAATCCTATCTTAAATGTGCAAAATATTATGAGTCTGTAGTTGTGATTTATCATTCAATTCATATTTTTTGGATTTGCATATACAGCTGACCCCAAGAAATTAATAAATGCGTAAATTTATTTTACTGATTTACTCAGGAACTACAAAACCGAATGCTTTGAAATCTTGAAGGTGTTTTAATGGTATAAAGAGCATAATAAATTTTTAGTCAAAATATATTTGGTTATCCCCTCCAAAAAATTTATGACGTCAGCTCAAAAGTTTTCCAAATAAATTCTATCTAAAATGTACAAAATATGATGAGTCTGTACTTGTAATTTATCATCCCATTCATATTTTTTGGATTTGCATATACAGGCTGACCCAAAAAGAATAATGAATGCGTAAATTTATTTTTTTCACTAGCAGCCTGGACGCATGCAAATGTCGACTCATTTAGTGGTAGCAAATTCAACTTTTGCTACCACGGGTTCAAAAAGAAAAATTGAGGTTATGTACGAAATGTTTGATGTGATTATTTCTTAAAAAATGAACAAATGTGTGCTACAAACATTACTTGAGTATACGCATGGTAGTTGGTAGACGGTGGAAGATAAAATGATTAACTCAGCGACAAGTATAAACGGTTTTCTTTGTGTTGAAGATTTAGATCAAGTTTGATTAGAAATCAAAACAAAATCATGTTGCGTCAAAAAATTGAACGTTTATTTTTCAGTTTATTGTCTTATGGTTTCTACTAGTGAAAAAAATAGTATATTAACCACGGTTGCAAAGCCACTTCTAGACCTCGCACTTAGAGCCCTCGACGCTGCGCGTCTCGGGTTCTAATTTGCGCTCGGTCTAGAATGCTTGGCTCTGCAAACTTGGCTAATAATATACTATTATTGATTTACTCAGGAAAACCGAATGCTTTAAAATCTACTGCAAAAAAAAAACATAATAGATATGCAGTCGTCACGTTTCCGACAGCGAGAGAAGAAGGAAGTACTGTCTAAACTCTTTATAGCAATTTTCTAATTTTTTAGAGTTTAATTAGGGAGCGGATTTTATGAAATTTGCATATCAGTTATCTTTTGCATATAAGTCTTGATATTTAATATGTGCACGAATTATGCTAGTTAGAAATGAACATATACTTGTCCAAAAAGGTATAAGGTTATATGACCATCATAAAAGTAGTTGACCGCAAATAAATATCCCCTTTGTGTGGTTCGCACTAAGCTTAACGGTTGGCAATAAATCGTCTTCTAAACATTTCTTGCTCACATTTAACAGGACCGGCTTTCAAAGCGAGTGGTTATTTCGGAACCCTCAGCGGCTGCAGGTAGTAAAGAAATAGTGGAGTGGTGGATTTTCATAGTTAGTGAAAGCCGCCCCTGAACGAAACCACAACAGCCGATCGAGCTGCAGTGGACACGTTATTTACGACCCTAAAACCTTTTCTATTGTAAACAACTTAACTTTGACACAATGGGATGATTTTATGATGGCCATATAACCTTATAGCTCTTGGTCCACTATAGCTATGTGGTATATTTTGCATTTTTATAATTGTTTGTGCTAGTTAAAAAAAAATCATTGTCATTCTGTCGGCACTTATCTAGAAAGACGAAATTTCATGAATCATGTTGCAAATTTTGTCCTGAGCTTCAAATAACCAGGAAATGGGTTTGTGTTTTATGACAGTTTGGAGCAAACCACTGTGTTAAGCCGTCCTTCTAGGTAAATTCGGCCCCTAATTACTTCTGGAAATTCCGTTAATTTCCAATATTTTTGTTCGTTATTTAAGTGTATTAATAGTATATTCTGGTGGTCAAAGGGACGTTATCCTGTTACTTTTCATCTTGAGTTTGCATTGAAAACATTTAAAACGGTACACGTTTGTCAATATGTCAAAATAATTTATAGATTAAATATTTTCCTGAACTTATTCTTCAAGAAGGAAACTGTGTTTTTTAGCACCTGCTTCAAACCGCAATTCTGTTTACAAATATATGCTTTCGGATCGCCAGTAAAATTACAATATTTCGAAAAGTATTTAAAAATAAATTGTTGCCAATATACTAATTAAATGGCCGATTATTAATATTATTTTTTAATTTGTCATGTTCATAATTATTTTTTAGTATAAGAATATTATCTTTAACTATTTTATTAAATTTCAACACTACATAGGTATGTCTCAAATTGTCAAATTATTATTATTTGTAGTTTCTGCTCTGTCACTTGGTTATGTCACTTGCTGTACATAATCATAATCAGCTAATGCAATTTGATTCGATTTTCATTGCATTTATTCGGATTCTTTCAGCACAATAGTCACCCGTCTTGGTCGAACGCACGGTCAAACGTAAGCATCGCAAGAACTTGCGTCTGTTACGGACCTGCTTCCGGATGCGAAGTTGCTATAAATGCATGTTATCAAAACCTGATGTTGAACTTTCTTCCGTTGCGTCATCCGGGCCCGTTTGCGTATACGGACAAACTATAAATCCGGTTTTAGTCTGTTATCATCCAACGTCAGTTTGTGCATTTTGTCCGTTTAAATTGATCTACAATAATTGCCATATTGGATAAAATAATTCAATTTGAGTCGTTCACTGATTACTGCGTGAGGCAACGCGAGTGCATTCCAAGCTTGACGGGCTCCCAGGACATGTCAGAATGATGCTGATGGGGTTTTGAGGAAGACCAGCTGCTCGAAGTCTTCATCTCGGGCTTTTTGGATACGAGTGTAGTTCGAGATGGCTCGTTTGAAGGGGTCGTGCACTATGACGAATGAATTGATCAATTTGTGCATTCATTCCGTTTAATTTGTCCTACAATCACACTGGATAGAATAATTCGGTTTGAGTTGTTCGTTGATTTCTGAAAATAATTTCTAAATTCACTTTGATTTTTCCATTTTGCATGGTTAATCCAAAGACGCGATCGCCGAACTTTGACAATGCGACGGAACATTACGCGACAAATCGGATCGGATCAGAAAAATAAACTAAAAATCGTGACGCTCTTTTTGGGGCACCATGTAATGAACTCATTGTACATTTTTTCATATAATGGTCTGCTGTTTTCTACCAGTTAAATTTAAATTTTTGACGTGATAGTCAATTAGACGGCTTGATTGATGTACGATTAAGCGTTATCTGTCAACTGTATGTTTGGTTGTATATATGTGTATTATTTCTGAGTCTAAACCATAAAAAGCGATAATCAAAAAAACACTTTTAGAATAATAGACGTTGAACTCAAACAAGCTGGAACGAGAGAAATAATAATTAAAGGTTATGTTAAAATGTAATGGAGAAACGAACGCCCAAATAACTACACATTAAGTAAAGTAAATATAATAAACTTGGAACTTACACATAGGTACAAATAAAAAAAAACAAAATAAACATTTCCGGATTTATTGTGAGCGACTCAAAATAGCGTGCTATTAAACATAGAAAGATAAAAAGTAAATTAGGGCCAACATTATTAGAATCGATGTTGAACTCCGTGTTATTACTCGCAAGATATCAACGTAATTATTGGTTCATCATCATTTACCTAATGAACCCATATATGTAATGTATAAATAATGTTTTGTTGACAAGGCGACGGAAAAGAATATAAAAGAATGGTTGTATAGCCTAATGTATACGACCTAACCGTTAATTTCAATGGATCTTCTGGAAAGATTATTATTTTTTATTTTCACAACATTTTTGGGTAAATTTTTCCCTTTATTTTTGCCGAAATCTAAATAAAAATATCGCGTGTAATTGTTTCAGTTACCTTTGTAACAATTTGGACTGTTGAGTCTGAAAATGTTCCTACTAGTGAGACTTCAGGTACTAGTACAACTTCTACGTTTGACATAATTTTGACATATTACTTCTTCATAATTTGTTTAAGTGTGTGGGCAAAAGTCGTCCGAAGATAGGGAGCCTTGGCAGGTAGCTATGTTTTACAACCGAAGTTTTTTTTGTAGTGGTACATTGCTAAACGAGAGGGTGGTTCTCACAGGTAAAAACTCTGTATTTCTGTAACTACCTAATTCACATTTTTATTTTAGCTGCTCATTGTGTAACAAGCCGCAAACCCAACTCCTTAGTTTTGGCGCTAGGAAAGCGTTATCGGAAATATGATGATGCGCGAGATAGCGCTACTGCACAGTTCCTACAAGTACGTTTGTCACACCAATTAACAGATTACTAAAGTACATTTTTCCAGGTGCAAGAAATACTCGTTAACAAACAGTACAAAAACGTCAGTACTAGCAATGGTGATATTGCTCTTGTGGTTACACAACAACCAGCCGTTTTTAACGAGTACGTACAACCAGTGTGCTTAGATTCCACAGGAACAGTTGACCCATTTAATTCTGATCGCGTTTTCGTAAGTAACAATCAACAAACGTGTCCAAAGTGCTTATTTCTATATAGATGACGAGCTGGGAACAGTGGCGACTTCCCAAACCAACCGTTGACGATTATAAAACCGTAAAAGTGACTGTGGCTTCAAGCGAACAATGTCGTGATAAAGTGCCAAAACTGTTTGTAAAACACATCACCGAAGACAAATTATGCGCAAGTTTTGAGAGGGAGAATGGTATGTGTAATCAAAACATTAATTCTTTTGTTTTTCACATTTACGATGATTACAGAATTATCGTTGTGTCAAGGTTTGAGTGGGTCAACTGTCAATGTGGAGCAAAATGGAAAATATTATGTTACTGCAGTTGGACTTGTGGGTTACACTCTCCCTGGAAAACGTTGTGACGACAAACAGTACAACAGTTTCACAAATGTTTCGTATTATACGAAAGATTTTATTATTGACAAGTTAAAACAGTATTCGAGCAATGTGTAGATAATATTTGGGATCATGGCAATGACTTGTGTGGGAAGTAAATAAATACTTAGGATTTATCATTATTTAGCAGTTATTCGGTAGAAGTGGAGTTGGTCTTTTTGTCAAAAGAGTAGCCGAACTTCTCTGATAGCAATGACCAGTGTACTTTCGGAATTCTTTCCTTCCAAGCCATTTTGCAATAGGAACTTCTGTACTTACTGTAGACTGTCAATTAACGGAATTATGAATTCTGTACAGAACTTTATCATCACTGTATAATAATGACAATGATTTTGATATAATTGGAATTTTTGAAATATTTAAAGATTTGTGGCAGTCTTGCTATATAATATGTAAAAGATTCTTTAATGACTGATCTGGTAACGTAGAAGATAGTTGGTTAAACGGACAAATCAATACTACTTCATTAGTACTTGAATTTATTTATGGAATACCAGATAGTAAACTTGACGAAAGTATTTAATTTTTTGATGAGTTATTATCTTTCATTAGCCCTCAGTTTAGTAACCTAGTTATGTTGAGCAGTCTGAATGATGGAAATTAAGGAATTACCTATTCATTGGTTAATATTTTATCTACTCAATAGAAGAAGGGACTTGCGTTACGAATACCACTAAAACTTTCTTGGATGTCGAGTTTGTAAATAATATGTAATAACAGGGAGAGAATTTCATACTTTACGGCTACGTTGAACGAATAAGAAAAAACCCTTGGATAGTTACTCTAAAAGCGATAATCAAATCACAGTGTTTGTGTGTGTAGCATTCACTTATTTATTAATATTGTGTTCTGTGTTTTGTTTATCGTTTTCCATTTTAAAGTTTTACTTGATTTTTTATCCACTAAAATGGGGTAAGCGAATAAATCTTGATTAACGAGTTAGCATGGTGTGGTGACCGAATTTAAATCAAAACTTTCGCGCTGAAATTAATTAACAGCGGCGCGAAATCGCATTTGAATAATTTGAATTTGAAAAAGAAAAAAAAATCAAATCAGAAATCGTTAAACATAGGCAACCAGGTGCACGTTAACGCTTGCTGGGTAGTCGGACAATTAATAGCGCTAAGGGATTTTTAGTTAGAGTTAGAGTTGGTGGTTAGACAGAACACTGCATGGCGGAGCTTCAGTCTGAATGTGTCTTTATGAGTGTAAACACGTGGTAAGAGCTAGGTTTAAATTAGTTGGTTCGGTAGTTAATAAAATGGGAGGAAGCCATAGTTTAACGACAATCAATCATAACCGACGTCACTCTGTTGTCCCCAACCCGCGCGGTTAATCCTTGCGGCCTTTTAATCGAAAAATTGCGGACTTCCGTTCAACGCGAAACACGTGCTATAAATTTGTTTTATTGTTTGAAAATTCACCAATCAAGTTAGTTTTTCTTAATCGTCAGCTCGTGCTAACACAATTTAACAATCAGGATTATTTAAATAAACCACATGCTAGAAGATTTCATGAAATTCACTTAGTCAGGAAAACACCTTGTTGTTTAATTACAAATAGGTTTCTGGATACATATACGTAAGTGTTACATCATAACACTTCTTAATTCTTCACACAAGATTGCTAATAGTTCATTTACGGCACTTAAACAAGATTATTATACTGCGAACTGGCGGGGGGTTAACAATAATTTCCTCCCTTAGGCGGTTATCATCGTTATTATCGTCGTTGTCATGATTACTTTATCGGGGCTTGTCCGTGCAACGCCATAGATTGATTACATCATCGAGGCATGCCCTCACAACGCTACAGGTTAATAACATCATCGAGGCATGTCCTCACAGCGCTACAGATTGATTACATCATCTAGGCAATTCCTCGCAACGATTTAAAATTTACATTACCGAGTTGCTTTTTCCCTCGGAGCGATGATTGGATATTTTTGTGTTTGTTTATTATGTGTTTTGTTGGGGTAACCACTTCGCGGTACTTTAAACTCTCAAAGTAAATTGTTTTTTGAAGTAACCAATCACTTGGATCATGATATAATTTTACCTAATGTAAACTCTTTGTTTGAATCATTGAAAAAATGTAGCAAGTATTAATCTCACGTAAATTTTGTTAACTTTACAATTTTCCACCTCATACAATATTTCTTTAATCTCACAATTTTAACCTCAGTAATTTTCCTTTGTTGTATAGTTTTCATTGAACGTAAATTTCATACTCTGAAGTTTTAACCTCACATAATATTTTATTTGCACAAGTTTATTTCACACCAGATCTTCTGTTTCATAAATCTTTACTAGTTTTGTTTTGTAAATACTTTGTTGATGAATGTTTCCATCGTATAAATTATCTGATGACAGATTTTAATCTCATATAAGAATTATTTGTTGTTTAAAATTTCACAAGATTGTATGGCGAATTTAAATATTGTTTATTGCTCTTTTGAAACTTTAGCATATGTTCAGTTGTTGTTAATATCAGAGTTATAAGATATTGAATATTTAAAAATGGAATTGAGGTTAAATAACACAGAAAACGTGGCAAAAGCGAAGTTCGGTTCCTAGTCGAACTGGCAAGATTTATCGTGTCACCTGTACAAGTCCATAGGTTTGGATAGATTCAGGGGCGGCCGCTGATGTTGTAACGTTCTCGGCTTCTGTCCTTAGCCGAGATCCGCCTACGGGTCTGGCGACCGTACTGGCCTAGTTGCGCACAGCGTGATCGTAATGGAGGTGTAAGTCCGGGTAGGCTTTGCGATAGACCGAATCACCGTTGAGGGGGGAGAACAGCCTCAGACCAGTAGCCCCAAACTCCACTTATACTAGAACGCCCCAGGGATACTTTTATTGTGCTCCTGTTAACTGCCGTAACTTTAAAATCTGCCGCCACACGCCCGTAATAACTTGTGTATTTGCATCCAGTTACTTAATTCAGATTTTGCTTTGTTTTTATTAAGTTTGTGATATTCAAATATTTACATTGATTCCAAACAGATGTAGGTATAGGATTTTGCGTTTGTTCGTTTTTCATATTATGTATGCCTGTCAATTCGAGAGTGTTTTTTTTTCATATATCTTAAGGTGTTTGAAATGTAATATGTCCGGGAATATACGATAGGGGGTTTTTGCGGCTGAGGAGTAAATCTTCGCAGCGTCTTTCCTCCTGCGAGGGGGTGCCGTGGTAGCCCCTCCAAAACAATTTTGTCTATTATTTCTTGCGCTCTCGAATCATACGTAGTGTATGCTCACTTGTATGAAAGAACGTCTTCCCGCCACTTTTCAAAAAAAACACACACAACGTAGGTTCCCATTTGTTAGACGATCACAGCCAAGGCCAAATTTTGAATTTTTGAATTTTTCGCGGGCCTTTCAAACTTTTTCAAGGTCAATTAAAGGCTGGAAGTTTGGGTTATTACAATGGCTATGATAATCTTAAAATGTTTGTAGTCGGTTTTAAGTTTTCAAAGTTAAATTACAAATTATTATACAATTTTGATTTTTTTCTCAAAAATCTGGATGTCGAAGGTGAAAAATCGACACAGATTCATACATGATAAGTACAGCAGTACTTTATCTTATAAAATTGAAAAAAAACTATTCTGAATTTTGGAGATGACGTCATCTCAATGGTAGTGGGGACAATTGGAGATTCTCAGTCTAATAAAAATTCGGACAGACGGCAGATGTATAGACAGACAGAGGGAAATCGGAGACCTATTTCTTGATACTCTATAGGTCGTGGAAGTCTAGAAAACAAAATTAGGTGTCTAAATAACACAGTGTAGTTTCATGTGATCGAGCACGATAATGTATGTGTTTAACATCCATAAATGTTCTTAACAATACTCGTACATCGGGTTTATGAATAAGTTATACACATTATCAAAAATATTCTTTTGAAAATTAGAAAAAGTCAGTGAACAATAACATTTACCTATAAAGGTCTTTACTTGAACATAAAATATATGCATAAAAGTTGTTTACCTTTACATAATTTTGTACAATACGTAAACAAGTTAAAAAGTACAATAATGCTAATAACGGCTAGTCTGATTAGCACAGCAAAAAGGAACTAAAAATTAATTAGTGATAACAGTTAATAACGCTTACGTGATAACGATAACGATCACGTAAATACCTGTTAGTAAACCTCACAATTAATTGAATTTTTAAAGGGACAGGAGATGAATCAATAAACTCAAAAGCTACAACGCGTGAAAATTCTGATAAGTATGAGATTATCTTATTTTCGCTATTTATGGATCAATTTTAAATTTTCAAAAAGGTACGTTAGTAGAAATTGTGCTAAAAAATCAATTGCGCTTTACAAAAATAAAATATCGCAATAAATGATTGAGTAAACGCACAGAATACTTAAAATTTGTGGTCAAACAAACTGTAGCCATTTTTCTGGTCCACTCAAATATATAACAGGTAACCGATACAGCCCGTCCTTTTAAACCCCTTATAATCCGACAATAAAATTTCATGAGAGTGTGCAGTCTCTAAGGTTTTCTAAATTTAATCTGTAAGTCTCACGTCAAATAAGAGGCAATTAAGTTTACATTATCTTGTAGCCCCCTTCTAAGTATTTAGGAACATCCTTTTTATTAAAAATTAAAAGATTTGCGTCCACAAGTAATTATCGGTGGACTAATTTTTACGATACATTTACACGTAACCAGTAAGATATTTTGAAATCTCCCACCAATGCAAATTTTTCTTTAAAAGTTGTTGCAGATGTATGTGGTATTTGTCCTGCGTCCTTGGGCATTTAGTAAAGCACATATAAAGTGATAGGCGGCACGCTTCCATGACCTAAGTGTAACTCTGTAGAATGTTAGTTTGTTGGAAAAAAAGATTCTAATAATTTATTGTTCAAGTAGTTACCTTTGTGAAAATGCCTAATTTGCATTCTTCGTCTTTCAGAAAGTGAGAACCGTCATTTTTGTTATAAAATAACATAGAAGATATTAATATTCTATAGGAGAATAGTCGTCAAAAATTTATCAGAAGATAAATTATTGGAAATGTTACTAATGGACAAAATTCATTTATTAGTCTCTCTATATTAA